TTAATGTAGCTTGGTTGTGTAATACATAAATGATTAAGTACATTAAGTTTAAAACTATAATAGAGCTTAGTTTTACAGGAACAAACTGTTTGCAAGGTAACGGTATGCAATATTAAAATGGCACCGAACGAAACAGCGACCTAATATGGCCAAGTTGGGCCAATATTTCCGTTGCTTACGCAATCGATTCCAAGTAAGATTTCTTTGCACGTTGGTCCGCTCCATTACGTAACGTAATGAAAAGTTTTTTTCATAGATTATTCCATTAAATGTATTTTAACATTAAGAATATATTCCCATTTGAAAATCTTAGGATGTTATATACATATTTTCTTCAACGTTAAACAAGTTTAAGTAATTGTAAAAAGACAATGGATATTTAGATGAAGATACACATTCAGTTCGAAATTTCCAATTTATGTGAAATATTGAAATTTTATGGGAAATAAGATATTTATGAGTGACAACCTAAGGAATAAAGAATCGAATACACCTAGAACTAATACACTTTCTGAGACAGTCTAATAATAAATTCTTTATAATAAATTCTAAGATTTAGTTTCAATTCGCTTATAACCCATGCAATGATAAAATAAAGATGTTTAAAAAAATATATAAAAAAAAGTAGTTAATATTTCACTGAAAACTAAGAAAGCTATACAGAGATACAAAGATACAAAAAGACATATATATTTCTTTATTTATATAAAATACTTCAACAAAATATATTTTAATGATGTTCTTAAACAAAACATACTAGGAATAATGAATTCACAATTTTCGTATAGCACATTGACATTTGAAGATAAATTTGATCGTGTCGTTAAATACTTTACAACAAAAGAAGCGTGCAGGATACTCTGCAGCGGTATTGTAACTATCAATGGCCGGTTGTAATCGTTGGGAAAAGTATCGGTGTATCGTAAAACTGTTTATTTTACGATCCATGAAAGCGAGCAAACAGGGATTACTATCGTCCAGGATGTCGAGAAACTGCCCACAGTCCCTTTAACGCCCACAACGATCACCAGGAATCAGCCAGAAAGGTCAAAGACACTCTGCTGTATCTTCTTCGACGTTCTGGCTGATCGTGCCGCGTTCTTCTTGCAGGACAAATTGTTCCCTTCGGCATTCCGACCCTTAAATTATACAGACCCTCGTGCAAGTATCGCTATTAACCGCAGCTTTTTCCCCTTTAATCGAGCGTGCCTTAAAAATGCCGTACACCTTTGGTACACTACCGTTCGAAGGTACTTCGGCTCTTGCAAATTATTGCAATTATATGAGACACACAGTTCTAAATTTGCGGTACGAACGATGTCAGTGAAATCAGAGAAAATTGGGAATAAAAAGATCGTGTCGTCTAAAAATCTTTAATCTTATATGCGAAAATGAAATTATTTTACTGTTTAGTCTTTCCAAATTAAAAATATACGATACGATGATAGCATTGAAATTAAAAAATGAATAGAGGATTATGTAAACGACCTTAGGATCAGGTTTGAATAACAATGACAGTGTCAAAAGGATTCAAGATGAGGACAGATAAGGAAAGACTAGTTTTGCCATTTGCCACGATCACATCTCGTAGACACGTTCGATTAGTACGCCTCAAGTGTTCTGTGAAACGTTAGATCGCTCGGAGGAACGAAAGGTTTTTCACTATTCGATGAATATTTTATATCTTTCGAGAATCGTAGATTCGTATCACGGTGAACCGTAACGCTGGCAAAACCTAAACGATCGTGCATTTCGTAAATCGATCGATCACCGATCAATTTCTTTTCCTCGATTTTGCATGGAATCCATTGTCTGGATCAGGGCCACGCCCACTACATCGGATCTCTATACTCCAATTTTCCCATACTAACTTGTACGTGCTGAATATTTAACAAGTTCGAAATTCTGTTGCGGTGACTCACTAAAGTATTCGAACACAAATAAACCAAACATACAAATTGCACAAATAAATCAAACAATACTTTGGAACTTCATTTCTACTGAATTGTATGTTTAATTTATTTAAAAGTTTGTTATCTTGTGTATTTCATTTCTGCTGTATTGCATTTTTTAAATATATTCAGCACAAGCTAGTACAGGAAAATTGAAGTATAGTTCAACTATAACTTTAACTCTTTGAAGAAAATTGGAGTACAGTTCTACAGTAACTATTTTAAAAAAATCTCTTTGTTGCGTTAGAAAAGATTTCTTTTCAGTTTTAAGTCTCTTTTGAGATATCAAAAATTCCTTTGAAAAACTCGAGACTTCGAAGACCAGGAGCAAGGAACGTCGAGTTTAAGAACTCGAAAAAAGAAGCATCGAGCAGGCAGATGCATCTTGTTGTTTTATATTTTCTGGCTCGGTTGAAAATCGTTATCGGCAAGGAACGGTGGAAGGAACCAGCGTTCCGTTAAGGACACCACGAGCACGCGTTTGCATGCGCACGGTATATCGCTGACATAAGGCGTAGCAAGCGTTAGTCCGCTGCTGGCATACTACATATCTCTTGTAACGTTCGTAAGAAGAAGGCCGTAAGTCCGGTCACATAACGGTCCAGTTATGGTATAGCAAGGAAGCGATCTCTCGCCTCGACACACGATTCCCTCGTTACACGAACCAGCCCTCCTCTACCACTCTGTATTTTCCTTATTCCCTTCTTTTTCTTCTTTCTCAGCGTTTGCCTTCCATACCTTGGATCCCCTCCAGGTCTGCCTCTTCTCGCTCAACGTGCTCTCACAATCAATAATGTTGTAAATATAAGCGTTTGCTCGTCTACCGATTGTGCGTGGGTTCGTATTGAAGATATTTTGTGTTTCAGGATCGATAAATCGGTAAATGACGAGAACAGCAATTGTTGAAACGTGTTTCACTTGAAATTAATTAGTAGACTGTGGTTTTCTGTACGTCTGTATAGAAAATTTTAATGTGTATAAAATAATATGTGAAACAATTTTCTATCGAGCTTCTATGTTATTAATTATATTTAATTTGTGTAAAAATCTATTCATTTATATTTAGTAGATAAAACATTTTTTTTCTGTCTAAGTTTTACTTTTTTTTTTTATTTATTTACCTTAGAAGTATGAATTTGTACAAATATCCGCAATTTATTTATTCATAAATTACGCGAACTTGCCAGAAAACAATTATACATTCAAATCCATAAAATTCACTATGTATAATCATTCACTTATATAATAGAAGTTTCAATTCATGTAACTGGATTCAAACGACGGAAGTTTATTTATTAATTAAATTATTTAAAATATCATTGTATCGATAATAATTTAAAATATTGTCAACGACCTAAAGCTCTTCTCCTCGTCATTTACCAGCACGTGCATTCACGCCTTCTCAATCCACAGCGTACGTCGAATCGCATGAGCGATCGTGATCGAGCTTCCCTGTGTTCGAATGCCGCGGACGTATTTTACTTCTTTCGCCTCGATCTTTTATGTAATCCCCTTTTGCGCCGAGGGATACGCGTTCCTCCGCATTTCTCGATTAGTCGGTTCGTCGAGTTTTTGACTTGGACGAGAGAGGAACTTAATTCGATACGCGGAACAGCGCAACGGGAATTTGACATAGGATTCTTTGGTAGTTATTGGACTCTGACAGTACAGAAGTACTGCATTCTTCAATTACCTGTGTTTCAGCTGTCACTTCATGCAAGAAATGGCAGATCTTCATTACGCTTGCTAACTTTTTGAACTAAAAAACTTGGTTCAGAAAGAGATTTAATTTGACACGAAGTTCTTCCTTTTGTAATAACGTAAGATATACTTTTATTTACTTCTGAGAGATATTTTTTTCATTATCTATATTTTTTAAAAAGAATTCTAATTTGGCACTCGTTTAGGAATTTAACACGGGATTTTTAAAGTAGAATGAAATATAAAATCTTTAAGATATCTTCGACAGATGACAAGTCTTTATCATCTATTAATAGTATATTTCCTATTAATCTTTTGATGCTTGAGGACCAAGGCTATTCGGTATTAAATTAGATTGTTCAGCCACGTGATTTCAACTTCTCAACTTATTTTTATAGACAGAAAGTATTATAGTTCCTCAGTACAGTGTTTAGATGAGTTTCAAGAAAAGATAGATTTTTTTTTAATGTTGGTATATTTTCATCATCGAGTCGTCCTAAAAGTTGATTGGCGTCAAAAAGTTATAAAATGTAACAGGTGTTAGAGTCCTTTGCGTTAGGTCATCACTAAAGTTTCTATTCGCCAGTTGCAAAGATAATGATCGACCGTTATTAACCTCGATAACCAAGATCTAGCCTGCGCAATGCGCAATTATCGCCATTGACGAACGTCTAGAAATTGAGCAACCAGGTGAGAAGCTAACAGCTGTGATAAATAGTCAGCTACGCCTATTATCATGCTATGTAAATACAAAACACGTAACACGAGCGGTAATTTCAGCACATTGGTCAGGTCAATAATTGTTGTAATCTTGTGTAATTTAACCTTGTGATTACGTACACCGGTACGACACAGATTTGGTTTCTTATTTGCACGAAATGAATTTTATACTGTTGACCATAAATATTGGAACATTTGGAAGTTCTAACAAATTTTACTTTACTTAATATCGAAGTAACATAACTCTCTTGTGCAATAAAATAGATAACGAAAACGTGGAATATATTTATTTGATAATAGTGAAAGGGAATATGAAATAGTTTTGATTTCAGCAATTTTTGCCTCTTTTTTAATTTTTAATTCTTAATATTTATTGCTGACAGCGTAATTTTGTATTAGTATTATTGGATAATAAATAGTCCACGAATGATTAAATTACTTATCATTATTTCTACTTTACTAATTTTAGAGTAACATTTTATTGTACGAGGACTATAAATTTGTATTTAATCTTTTCTAATTTCATTTCGATTGAAAAACTCATAATCTGAATTGTAATTTAAATTATAATCGTCTATGATCGAACGATACCAAATATCAATTTCTGTATTAAATTCGTTAACTTACCAGTTCGGTGGGCATGGTGTTACAAGACCTGAGGGGTAGGTTGTAAGTAATAGGGGTGTGTTGGCTTCTGTACTCTTGCAAGCAAGAGCTATTCTTCGACAACCCCCGTGGATAGACCAGACCATGGAAATCCGTGTTACCCTCCGTCGAGATGTGGACAATTATCGACTCGCTCGCGCACTCGATTTGCACAGTGCTCGCAATCGCAACGGTTGCTGTAAAATTGCAAAAATATCGTTATTTCACTCGTTATTTATAGGGTTCGTGTCGCCGGCAGTTAGCAAGTACACTTAGATAATTCTCGGTCTACTTTTTAACGCTCACTTGTTGCAAGTGAAAGGGAACGAAAATGATTTAAAATTAGCTAGAATTAGAGAGTCCTGAATCGATCTCCTGAATCTAATAGGAGAATTAGTGAATTTTTGCTTCTGCAATTTATAATAATTACTCGTTTTTTTTTACGAAGTAATTTACTTTCTAATACCATCTGTTTTCTGAATTAATAATAATAATTCAAACAACTATAAATTCTCCGTTTCTTAGAATTATCATGTACACAGTAATTTTCAACTAAATCAAAATTTAAAGAAGATGTAAATCTGTCAAGTTACAAGACATTATCTTATTGAATTGTTCGAAACAAAAATGTATGTTCCAGTCTGAGAGTAATTTTCGATTTATTCACTCGTGTGATACATTTGTTGTACTACATCGAAGACTGATAATTCTCTGTAGAAAACCAACACTTAAAATTTTATACGAGTTACTTTTTTTTAGCAAACTTCCTGTAAGGAATCCCTGCTACGTTTAACTGTAAATCGAAGGTGTGAATGATATAACGGCGCTCTTGGTCGATCAATTACAAACTTTGTTCGCACTTTTGTTATCGGCAACGGGTCGTATCCAATCGAAGAGTCACATCGTTCGATTAGGATCTGTTTTCATTCAGCGACACATCTGATACTACCATTATAGTACGATAATTTGTTATTGCTAATTCGATCCACGTTTGCTCGGTCAGCGAGCCGCTAGCTTCGAGTTTAATAACCTCTCTGGTTCTTATGAATTTTCGTCTCGTATTCGGGTTGAAAAGAACACTCGCCCATTCCTCGAAATGTTGCTCACTATTAAACTACGGATTTTGATGCATTTATGAGAAATTTAAAGACGCAGAAATTCGTAACATAGATGTATGTACAATACCAAAACTAAAAGTGTTTAATTGGTGAGACAAAGAGTTTTCCTTTTATTGTTATTTAAACAATATTATAATACCATTTTCTTGTAATTCTCGTATAAATATAATTAAGATTAAGATAGCGATTAATAGTTCTCTGACAATCTAGATAGATCGCTGTATCGTAGAATTAGCAAATAGATTCCATTCACCGTTTTTTTACGGGATTTATCGTGAAAAGGAGGGAAGCATACCGTTTCTTTTTCTTCGACGTAAGAAAATCTCGCGATATACTTTAGCCATAGGCTCTTCCATATTCTATGACCTACGATTAAACAGCTGCCTAACAATAAGTGCATTCACCCTAGAGTAACTTTTAATTGTTAAACAAACGGTGATGTTCGTAAACTGAACAGTCATTATCTCATCAATGTAAAGGAGAAGAATTATCATTAACATAAATTCTCATTGTATACTCATGTTTAATATCTGATTTAATTTACAAATACAAGAAAGAGTAAAAAAATAAAAAAGAGATAAAATAAAAGATAAATGACAAAACTAAGAATAAAATTTCATTTTTTTTTTTCAAGATAAATATTTGTTATCAAATTACAATTCTTGTACTTAAAGAAATTATATAGTTCTTCAAAAGAGATTCTAAGGTGTTATAATTTAATTATTGGTCGCTCTTATATGTTTAAATTTCTCATAAATGCATAAGAATCATCAATCGAATCATTGTAAGATATAAATTGTAAAACTGTCTTCTTAGTTCGTACGTATTATTAAAAATGTGAAAACCTGCACACAATGTCTTGAAACAATCCCCAAATTATCGTAGTTTAATTACTGTGCATTTCTACGATAAATTTCGTTGTCCTCTTTACATTCGAAATAATTACGCAACGTCTTAAACAGGACGTCTTCTCATTACGAAGGCGACGTTAGTTATTAAAATAATTATTGAAACAAGTCGCTAAAAAAAATAAGTTCCCTTCTTTAGACTGACGCGTCGGTATCGTGTAATTAATTCGCGCGTGGTTAACGGCATCGTGGCGCGTCGTTTAAAGAATTACCGTGGAGCCAGGCAAACAAAATGACAATGATCATCTTTGGTTTAGCATTATCGTCTTGATGGTGAGGAGACAATGATGAGAGAGTCGTGAACTTGACTCATCGTGGAATCTTTTTCTTACCCGTGGAGCCAATGAAATCTTGGCTAATTTAATTCTTAATACTCGTTGCCTTCGGCCAGAGGAAACAATTCTTCGCGAACATACACTACTCAATAGTCTTAGAACAAGTATGATATTTTGGTATTTGAAAATGAAATGGCACTTTGTGCAACAAAGAATCTTTAAATTCAATATGTTAGCAATTATAATAACAATCAAAATAATATTATCAATTGTATAATATAATATAGATATTGTATAATATCAATTGTATAATATAATATTAGAATTAAATACAAATTCAATAATAATAAAATTATTGTAATATAATAACATCAACGATCGTATTATAAAAATACATGTGCAGATAAAAAATTTTGTTATTTCAAAAGTGTTTCAAGGTAATGTAGTCTATCAGTAAAAGGATGAACAATAAAAAGCTCGAGCTATGACGAGTATGGAGAAGAAAAACGACCAACGTGAATTGCAAATAAGGGGAACGATTTCCCCCCATTAGAGATCGACGATTTAATGAAATTTCTATTAGGCTTAATGGCATCAATTTGCTCGTTGGACATTGAGATTTTCATAAATCCATTTCCTACGCGTCTCTTTTGCAAAGATTCTGGCTTTCGATATCGGTGTTACAGGGAGACTAACTGTGCTCGGTGTACTTGCGTAGATATATCCGTGGTATTCGAAGTTACGTAACCGTAAAGATAGTGAATCCACACGAGAACTCTATTACGACGCGTCGTAAATAACTAAGTAAGTCAAGGAATTGAGCGGAGATCTTTCCGTGACACTTTTTCTACAGGTTGTTTCATGCTTCTGGGTCTAGCTGTACGCGGTTATGAAATAACAGAAGATGGAAGAATTAAATAATTTTGATCACGATTGAACCAATATTAATCAGTTACTCATATATTAGTCAAGTTTTGGAAGTGACGTATCAATGTCAATAATTATTAGAGGTAGTGATTTTGTTGATTTGACGAAGTACGTTTCTATTTTTCTGTATGAGATTTTTCAAATGTTTCGTTATAACAAGATGTAAAATTTATTCAATTCAATCGTAAATCAATTTATTCAATAAAATCGTAAATGCCAATTTGTTAAATTCTCATTCTTACGTCCTAGCTTATGAAAATGATAAATATCGGAAATCTGTGTTCAAGCAGTAAAGTGTCAAACATACGTCCTCCCTTTATTATACATTAAAAACCTTCATTTATACAAGTACTTCAACTCGTCGATTCTTCGAAATATTCAACATCAACTAGTGACTTTCCTTTTCCTCGTTTCTTCCTTCTCAAAACACATCGAAAAAAGAGCAAGCGAGGAGAACGTTTCTCGGAAACAGTGGCACGAATCGTGAGCCAGCAATTTAATAAGAATCCCCTGGGCCCGTCTCGCCGGGAATCTTCTTCGTTCCTGGAAAGAATCGATGTACGGAGCGTGCAGAATCCTCTGGTTCTGCACGTTCTTTTTTCACCTTGAATCCGCCACAGGGAAGAGAGACGATGAAAAACCGAAAAGGAATCGCTGTAGAAGCGTGAGGCGAAGATGGTTTTCGGTCAACGACCCCACAGATTCTCGCGTTCACCGGCTTCTTCTTTTCTTTTTCTTTTTCTTTTTCTTCGTTTCTCCGTTCCTGTTCGACACTTCCCTCCTCGACTCTGTTGGCTCTTTGTACGGCAAACTATTGACTCAGGCAGCTGAGTGTTGCGAGAACGATGGTGGATTTTCGCGTGCGGCTAATTGGCTCTGTTTGCCGGCGGGAAACGTTCGTATCACTCTCAAAGAGAACGACACAGCGATTGCATGCCTGGGAAAGGGTTGTCAACCTTAAATGTCCCCGCGACCGAGCTAATCACCGCTTCCTTAATCATCGTGTACCCTCTCGTTTCGTTAATTAAGACGTCGCGGAAAGCACCTGGTTTTGACGTTCTTCGATTATTGTTAGGTAAGGTGATACAGGTCGTTTCACGCAACTGGGACAAGAGCGAGGGCAAAAATTAAACAATGACGAGCGTCAAACTCGTCAAACGTAAAGTAAATACATCTGCTGTAAAATTTAATGAAATTATAATGATGTGGCAGGTGGCAATTTATTTTGAAAAATCAATAATCTTATTAGTTTTGTTATTATTATTATTAGTTTATTATAGTTTTCATTATAGTTTAATGGAATCTCAAAGTGTCTCACACGTATGAAATCCATGAAATTTCAAAATTAATGACACTTCGGTATATTTCGTATAATACGTGTACAAAATGTGATTTTCAAAATGTTTTACATAGTGTGTACATAAAATTGACGAAATAACACGTGTTGGAAGTTAATGAAATTTCCTGTATACAATACAAGTAATAAAAAATTTTTCAACGTTACAAACACTTTCTTTTAAATAACTTAAACCATTGAATCTTACTTGCACTTCGTACGAAACCTGTTGAATAGTTATCGACCAGCACCGGCGGAGAAATTTCATAGAAAAACTCTCAAACGAGAGCAGAGAACGTCATTGTGGAGTAAGTAAGAGAAAAAAGACAGGTAAGAATGCTCTTCCCTGAGAAAGGCATTCGTATATTAAATTGAAGACACGTGCTCTTAGTGAGTAAGTCACGCCGGAAGTGGAAGGTACTTGACCTTAGGGCCTGTTTTTCTGCGGCGTACAGTTCGTCGTAGGTAAATCTCAGGATGAGCGTGCAGAAAAACCGCTCGTCCACGTGTTTCGCCGTTCGATTTCCCTTTCTTTCTCTTTCTCTCGGCTTGGTTTCCTCTTCTCAGCCATCTGAGTCATTCGAAAGGTCTCGCGGGGTGAAACAAAGGCGTGTACGGAGTCGCAATTTGCAA